CCCTACATAATGCAATGGCTTCTCCCGTGGATGTAGGCGGTTTGCCGAACCACGTAAAATATCGTGTCTCAGTGTGCTTGGCCTCCTATGAGCAAATATCAGTACATCACCGGTCGAAATTCCCAACACTACCCTCTACTGACTTGTTTCATGTTAAGATTATGAGATTATGTGTACTCTTGTTGGGTTCTGGTTTGCCTCTAAGAAGTCTAAGCTAGCTATAATTTTGCATAGAGTAAAATTACAAGTCACTTGATCTCTTGGAAAAATGCTTCAATATTTATCCTAGCTAGTTAGAATCTAATTCATCTACATGGGTTTCCAAGCTTGCGATTCAGCTTGATGCCAAATTGTTTACAGAAAGTGTAATGGAATTCCATATATACAAGAAATTAATGATCAGGCTGATACGTCGCCCTGAAGTTCTCAGAACAAAACTTGCTGAAACTTGCTGTTATCTCTCAGGTGTGGTTGCACTTGTAAAAGCACCGATCCCACGTCCAATAATTAAAAAATTATATGGTAGTGAAGCCTTAAAGAGGGTCAACGGCCTAGGAAATATCATGTAGTATCATCACTCGATGTGCCCTAAAAAATGTGCTGCAAGTGAGAGGAGTGTTAAAGAACCTTTCCCAGATCGAATAATCACAAGAATATTAAACAACAAAAAAAATTGAGAATAGGCCTCCCATCAATAGCTATTTTACTTTTCCAAACATTGATAAGAGCTACGGCTCTGCTCTGTCTCCAATCCCCATTCTAAAAGTATGTTCTCTTCTGACTCCAGCCTCTCAGAGGGAGCTGATTCAAGACTCAACCAGTCATTTGATAAAAATCGAACTATTGGACAATCAGGCACTGCATGAATTCGGTCCTGGTGGTCAACCGAGAAAATGTATTGTCTCAAATTGCTCATTTACCGCAGCATAATTCAACCCTCGTGGGTAACCTATTGCCATTTTACTTTGTCATGAGCAGCTATATTCTGGGGTTCACATTCAGGGCTGAAAAGGCGGACCAGCAGAGCAGAAGTTGAACTCCAACAAAAAGCTCTACAAGCAGCCCACCGAGAAGACTCCTAGGATTTGTAATTGTAGGACCTGCATGAACAATGGATAGGTGAACATTAAAGGTTTAGTTGAATACAGAATATGAAATGATAAAACCATAGCTAAATGTGTACCAAAATTGAAAAACGGGCTACAGAACTGAAAAACAACAATGGACTAGAAATCCTTCCAAAATGCACGTATCAAAATATCATTTAGCTTGTCTTATGATCAATGAAAAGCTGAAAAAATTAATTCAGAAGCACCAAATCCAAACTGCTTCAGAAAGACGCGTTGTAGCTGCAATTCCTCGCATCATGCAGTTTCCAATGCTTTGATATACGTGATGCTACTTTTAATGTTCTAGTTTTTTACTTGTTTTTCCGTATCTCCAGAATGTTGTACCTATGACTTGGGTATCAAAGCTGTTTCAACAGCACACCATGAAACCACCTCAAGATTTTACCACAACCCAATCTTTAAATATTTCTACTTACAATCAACTCAAGATTTCTTCAAAGATCAACATGCTTGATCTCCAGGATATTTCCATGGTTTAACAAACTTTTAACACCTTTCTTTGATCTTTTCGCATCTTAATAGGTTTTTATATCTCCATTGCAATAGAGACAGTCATCTATATGACCTTTTGAGCTAGTCATATCAGCCATATCATCTGAAATTCCAGGAAGCTTTAGTGAATAATGTTCGCAAGATTACACACTTAATAGATTAAGTTAGTAAAACAAGATTGTGTCAATGACATGAGAATACCATTTGATTCAACCCCAACACACGCAGGAGATCCCCTCAAATGACCGCAGTAGTTTCTTTAAGGAACACCAATTATATTAAACCCTTCCATTTACAAGTCTTCCCCAAGTTTTTCATGACTGCTCATCTTTAAATACTAGTTTAGTATCTTCAATGACTCTCCTCCAAGACGGAGATACAACCAATAAAGACTATCATCATGATCACAATTGTATGTTGTGATATTCGGTTTGATGGCAAATTATGGCCAATCTTTCATGTTAGTATGTCAATTCGTATGCTTATTTTGGAAACGAAGTGCTCAACTTTGTCTGGAAGATCACTAAGTTCAAAACCTCCACCAACAATACAAGGCACGAGCTTTATGCAATGCAACCTCATTTTCAAGACCTGATCGTATATGACCTTTACAATCAGTAACATGACAAATATCACCAAAAGCAAGATGATGCATACACGCATTTCAGTCATTTAACAACATCGGAAGCATTATACTGAAACAGAGCAAACGCCAACGAACAACGTAATAGGGACAGTAGAACAAACCATAATGCAATCTACAGAGAATCTAGAAATCAAAAGCTCCTACAGCCCTAAAAATTCCAGCTGTTTGTCTCATTAATCTAGAGCAAGGCTTAGAAACTGACCGCATCAACTCCCCTTCTGAAAACCTAAAGAAGCACCTTAATGCCATCTATCACACGCTGCCGCTTCAATTCAATGTCCTTAATACCTGAAATATAATAAAAGGTACAGGCTTTTTATCATGCTTCAAACATATCAACTCTCTAGAGTCTAGTCCATCAAAAAACAATATCAAGAAAGCCCAGATACAAGAACGCTGATTCCTTTATGTTACTTGATAATAATAATAATAATAATAATAATAATAACAATAAAGAACCTTACTTGGAAGTTATCTGGTGCCATATCTTTTTTTCATAAAAAAGGAACTTTTTTGATTGAAATCAACTACGCCTAGCAGGAAAAAGAAGAGAGTACATGTTGGAGCTTTATACCTTGTACTACTACATTCATCTGACTTGAAAGTTAAACCAAGCAGCTTAAAGCACTTACAACATTAGAAGATGAATGAGTTCCTCTCCAGTGTCATTTTTGTAGAACAGAAGGCTGGCGGGCGAAGAGACACCCTAAAAGCAACCAAACACGTTAATAATGATTGAAGCGTGATAAAGGCGTGACCTTTATTTTTTTAAAAAAATAATTTTTTTTTTGAAGAAATATATTAATACAAAAATCAATTTTAAAAATTAAAAAAATATAATTTTAATATATTTTAAAATAAAAATATTTTAAAAAATAATTATTTTACTAAATATCAAACAATGTTTTTTTAAGAATGTTTAATGATATGGTAGTGATATCTTTTAAAAATATATATATTTTTTATTTTTTTATGTAAGTTATTAGAAAAAATATTTTTGATATAATATTTTTTTATTTTTTAAAAATTAATTTTAATATCATCAAATTTAAAAATATTAATTTTAAAAAATCAAATTTTAATAAAAATAATTTAAAACTAACTACCTGGGATAGGATATTATGACATCACATCGCACGTTTTTTCTTTTGGATAAAAACTAGTTTAAAGGACAGATTAAAACATTTTTAAACATGAAAAAAAATATACCGTTTAATATCTTTTTTTAAATCTAGCTTGACAATTCAAAACATCTTAATCTAATTTTTTATTTAATTTATATTTAAAATTAAATTATATGAAGTTTGGACAATCCAAAAATATCTTGATTGACTATTAAAAAATTATAAATAAAATTTAAAAATAATAATAAAATTGATATAAAAAACCTTCTACCAAACTTTTTGTCTTATCTTGATTCAAAATTAAATTGTATAATAGTTGTTTTAATATAATTTTATCAATTTAATTAATTTAAAAATAATTTAGTTGACTAGTAAAAAAAATCTAATAATAGAATTAAATTAATAAAAAATTCTTAACTTAATTCTTTATTTAGCCAGGTTTAAAAGTAAATTACGTGAAAGTTATCTTTACATTGTTTAATTGATTTAATTGATTTAATTGGTATAATGTTTTTTTTGAATAACTATTAAAAAAAAGCTAAGGATAAAAATTAAAAATTAAAAAAATAAGAAAAATAAAAAAATGAAGAAGCTGAATTGAAAAAAAAGGGCTTCATTATTGATAAAAAAAAGGATAAAATGAAAATATTATTTTAGAATTTCATTAATTGTTTACTTTTTATTTTTTATCATTTTAGGTAAGCAACTAGAGAAAACATTTTCTAAACAAAAATGTGAATAAAAAAGGAAGGATAAATATTTGAAATTGCGGTAAAGATTATTTTTTAAAATATTTTTAAAATAATATATATTTTTTATTTTTTAAAAATTATTTTTGATATGAGCATTTCAAAAAACTTTGAAAAAAAAAATTCAATTTTTTTTTGAAATATTTTTGAAAAAAAAGAGATAGTCATTAGCATTTGACTTGGTACTCTTAAGAGTCTAGACTATAGCGTTTTGATGGATGAATGCTCTGCTACTTCATTTTTCGGCTTAGAATACTGTCAGTCTAGTACTTTAGCTAGGAAAGAGCACAGTTCATAAAAGATCAAGCAAGTATTCATATGATGTTCAGCTTGATAGGACAAGACACGAGAGGTTTGGTTTGGAAATTTGTGGAACTTCCAGGCAATTTCCCTAGTCAAGACAAACAAAGACTATAAGACATTTTTCTTGTGGATTGTAGATGGACCTGACCATTCACGGAGAGGCTAATTTGAATGAAGCAGCAACCAGATCGAGCAAGTACCACTCCTGCATTAAAGGGTGTTTCCTCTTTCTAATAATGTGTGTCCCCTCCCAGAAGAGCCTTTAAAAGGATACTACGAGCATCTTTTCTCTCCTATGTCTGCACTTGATTTCTACACTCTCCTCAGGCTCAACAGTACTCAGTCTCTTCAATTTCTTCAGGTTCAGCTCAGGAACACTGTTGAGCTGCCCAGCTGACTGTTTTTTTTTTTTTTTCCGTTCTTTCTCGCAGGCATATTGCATCCACGTATGGGGAATAAAATTCTTCTCAAGGCTTTCTGTTTGTGGGCTTTGACATACTTCCTTCTTCCTGCTAGCTCTAATGGCCTGGTGAGAATAGGTTTGAAGAAGCGCCATTTGGATCTTCAGACTATTAAGGATGCCAGAATTGCTAGACAGGAGGGAAAGGCAGGAGTAGGTGCAAGCAGCAGGGTCCATGATTTAGGCAGTTCAGATGGGGATATAATACCCCTTAAAAACTATTTGGATGCTCAATACTTGGGAGAAATTGGCATTGGCTCGCCCCCGCAGAACTTCACTGTCATATTTGACACTGGAAGCTCCAACCTCTGGGTTCCATCATCAAAATGCTACTTTTCTGTGAGTTCTACTGGTTTTTATATACTGTCCTAAATATGAGATGAGATACTGACTCGCAATCACCTGCAGATCGCCTGTTATTTCCATTCGAAGTACAAGTCAAGCCGGTCGAGTACATATACCAAGAATGGTAATTACTTGAAGTTAATTACTTGAAGTACATGTTGTAGACAACATTGACAGCTATGTTGCGAGATTGAAACTCAAATTCTTCTTTTCAAATTGTGATTCAGGGAACTTCTGTGAAATACATTATGGATCAGGATCAGTTTCTGGTTTCTTCAGTCAAGACAACGTTCAAGTCGGGGACCTTGTTGTCAAAGATCAAGTGAGTTATCCGTTCCATTTTACGTATATTTGGAGAATCATTTATCTTGTTCTTGCAGTACTGTGTGTGTGACTTTTGTAATCCAGGTTTTCGTCGAGGCTACAAAAGAAGGAAGTCTTTCATTCTTATTGGGGAAGTTTGATGGAATACTTGGGCTTGGTTTTCAGGAAATTTCAGTTGAGAATGTTGTCCCATTGTGGTATGTTTATGTTTGTACTGTAGTTCTTAGTTAGTGACTCCATGCTTCTTGGAAGCAAGAACTTAGATTCATCATGTCTGCAGTTCTTTCCTCTAGTACCTCGGATAGACTGATTCATGAAAAGAGTGCAGGTACAATATGATGCAACAAGATCTTGTAGACGACGAGGTCTTCTCATTCTGGCTCAACAGAAATCCTGAGGCGAAAGACGGTGGCGAGCTTGTTTTTGGAGGGGTTGATCCAAAACACTTCAAGGGAAAGCATACCTACGTTCCAGTTACCCAAAAAGGTTACTGGCAGGTACAAGAATTTCATCTATGGACCAATTTCTAACCTTATTATCATGTTCTAATTTCGAAGAGGGAAAAATCAGTTACACTGTTCTTTCCCATTTACAGATCAATATGGGAGATTTTCTTATAGGAAAACATTCAACAGGTGATCTTCAGTCAACTTAAGCATTTTTATATTTATGTTATCTATGCCCTTTTCTCCATATAGTTCTGTATTAGAAGAGTAAAAACGGCAGTGAATACTCCCTAAAATGGGAACTGCAAACAGTTTGAATCCTATTATGAAATTATGAGTCAGTAGTCACTTCTCTTAGAAATTGCCACATCCTAACATCTAATTTCTCTACATGGCCCGGCTCCCGTGTTTCCGAGCTTGTGACTCAGCTGGATGGCAAATTCTCACATGAAGTCTAATGGAATTCCATATCTGTAGAACCGGGATAATAAAGCTCTCACAATAAACCCTTTATTTCTCAGGTCTTTGCGAGGGGGGTTGCGCTGCAATCGTGGACTCTGGAACCTCATTGCTTGCTGGTCCAACAGTAAGTTTCTTCACCTCCTTGGTGATTGGCTTCTTTCCAAGCAGACCTCCTTGCTTGACAGTTCAATTTTTCTTTCTTCCTTATGTTCTACTTGCTTCAAAGATACACTAAATAGCTATCATTTTCAGCCAATCATCACGGAAATCAATCATGCCATTGGAGCAGAAGGGCTTGTGAGCGCTGAATGTAAGGAAGTGGTTTCTCACTATGGAGACTTAATATGGGAACTCATAATATCAGGGGTGCGTTTGTCTTCAAGTTTGTTATTTCAAGAACTTTTCTACTTTTGTATGTACCAGAATTCTATGCTGTGAACCTCAGGTACAACCCAGCAAAGTATGTGCGCAACTAGGTTTATGCATTTTCAATGGGGCTAAGTCTGCAAGGTAAGGAGAATTATGTTACATGCTGGCTCATGATCCACTTTGGCATAGAAGCTTTGCATTATTAATGAGTTTGGTATTTTGGTAGTTTTTATGGTTGATATTAAAAAAATAGATTTAAGAAAACAACTTTTAATGCGGGTTAAAAAAATAAATTTGGTTATTTTAGTTTTATAAAATTAAGATTTGAAACACAATTCTATATGAAATTAGTGCAAAAAAAAAAAATTATTTAACTAACAAAACTCTTTTTTAGGGCAAAAAGTAGAAGCTACCACAATTTTCATGTCTTTAGTTGTTTTAATCATAGTATTTCCATCAAGATTTCAAGTAGAGTATTTGATAGCAGAGTGTGGTATTGAAAGGGCACATTATAGGATAATGGGGCTAACTGCAAGTGCATGAATCATGATTATCGCCCTGCGAGGAAATTCGGTGATTCTGCTGACCAGTTCCTTCTCTTTTTTTCTTGTTGCAAAGGAGTTTTAAGGTCCTTATAAGATGATTAAAAAACTGCCTCAGCAGTGACTCTGATTGATATTAAAACCTGATTTCTTGTACAGCACTGGTATTGAATCAGTGGTAGAGAAGGAAAACAAGGAGAAATCATCTGCTGGTAATGATCTTCCATGCACTGCTTGTCAGATGCTTGTTATTTGGGTCCAGAATCAACTAAGAGAAAAGGCAACAAAAGAAACAGCAATCAACTATTTAGATAAGGTAGGTTTATATCAAAACACTGCCTCGTTTTCAGAAGATCAAATCTGTGTGCTAAGTTTTGGTTTTCGATCCTTTACAGTTATGCGAAAGCCTACCAAGTCCGATGGGACAGTCATCAATTGATTGCAATAGTATTTCAACCATGCCAAACATCACGTTTACCATTGGAGATAAACCTTTTAGCCTCACTCCAGAGCAGGTTAGATTTCCATAGTCTTTTCGTCAATGAAGCATACAATTTGAAGTATCTTTATTACCTTCAATTCTTTATTTCTATATTTCTAAAGTCACTTATTTGTTTTCAGTATATTCTGAAAACTGGAGAAGGCATTGCTCAAGTTTGCATCAGTGGGTTCGTGGCTTTGGATGTGCCGCCTCCACGTGGTCCTCTATGGTATGCTATCTTAGCCCTCATTTTATAGCTTCAGTTTACATATATACCTTTCTTTTCCGCTGTTTTTGTTTGAGTTTAAGCTGGAAATGCATGATTGCAGGATTCTTGGTGATGTATTCATGGGAGCTTATCATACCATCTTCGACTATGGTAACCTGGAAGTTGGTTTTGCAGAGGCTGCTTAGTGATTCTTTAGCAATGTTGTTGAAATGTTTTGATCAGATGTTCCTATGACAATTGTTGTTGCAGAGTACTTAGTAACGAAATCCCTTGTAAATGTCCGTGCTGTTTTAGGCATATTAGGACTATGCTTGGACAATCTGTTCACCCTACCATCTACATATCGAAAAAATATTTAATAAGTTCAGTTCATTATACACAGCAATATCAGAGGAACGATAATATAAAAATCTGCTCAATATTGATTAAAAAAACTATAATTAAGATTGTTGCTTTCCGAATAATACATTACAATTTTGATTAGCAAGTATTGTGCGATGATAATCATGCCAAGCTTTGGTTCATAGATACCAAGTTATCAGTAAGGCCACCCACCTTCATGGTGGTGAATGTATACTGCTGCAAATCAATTGAGCCATAGTGATTGGAACTGATTGTTTTACATAAAATGGATTCATCATCGTAAACAGCATGTTCTAATTCATGCTATTTTTTCTTCTCTCTCTTCAATAGAGTTGATTTTTATTCGCAAAATCAAGAGTTTACATGCCAGTAGTCAATTCATAAGAGTTCCAATCTCCCCTTTTAAACCGTCTTCATTACATATGCAGCATGTGTCTAAAAACATAAGAGCATGTCAATTGAAATGCGTAACATATAAAGACCTTGAGTATTCCAAGGCACAGTATTGAATTCCAGGTGCACAGTGCACAGCTGAACTTCACTGTTCTTCATCGCTATCATTGCTGAAAACAGAGGCTACAGCTGATTTCGGCTTCTTGGCAGCTTTGGCAGAAGAGTTCTGTAGAAGGAATGAAAAAGCGTCACAGGTTAAATAGTGAGCATATAGATTATTCAGTCACCAAGTAACGATTTCTTTCACTCAAATTACTACAACATTGTGATATTACTTATAGAAGCAGGTGACCAATTCAAATGGGTACCAATTACAAGTAAAGAAAGGGCCATGTGACTCCCATTCTAAGTTGAAAAGAACCACAACTTGTGTCATAATCCAGAAACAATGAATGCAATCTTGACGCATTCAAAATTACTTTACAGAATGCCACATACAAGAACGGAACATGGTATTGTTACTTTTGTTACTGTAAATCCACGACAGTAGAATATTTCCATGCAGCAATAATAAATTTCTCAAAGGTTCTTAACAAAAGCAGCATTTATTCAGAAGGACAAAGCATTTTATGAATGCAATTAATCATAGGGAGTTTTTTGCTAATTAGACAAATTAATCATAGGGAGTTTTTTGCAAGTTAGACAATCCTACGTAAGTGAGAATCTCTGCATAAATGAGAGACAACAATTCATCCATGCTCACTGAAATGCATTGAGACCTCAATTTATCCAGGTTATAAGGGGGAGAAGGAGATCAGGACATTTGAATAATCTACCATGTTATTACCATATCACAACAATCTATCTTGTCATGGAACAGATGGCAGTTCATTTACACATACATAAGCCATGAAAACAGCTTCTAAGAACACATACAAGACTTAAAATGATATAATTCTAATTCTTCAGTTGCATACCTTTGAAAAGCCCCCTTTAGAAGAAAACCCAAATTTTAATGCCTTCCGCTGATCCTGATCCACAAGCGCAGTTGCACTTTTCTGCTGAGCAGATCCAGATTCTTCCTGTTGCTGCAGCTGCTGCTCCTGTTTACGAGCATCTGCCCTATATTGCATAAAACAATATAAAAACAAATGTCATAAGGAAAATATTTTTAAAGACAATAAATGCACAAGCAAAAGCTCGAATTATCAGATGCATTTGTGAAGGAAAATAAGAATGCTTACATCTGTGCAAACTTAGCCATCTCCCTCTCCTGTCGTTGTAGTTCCCGCTTTTGCCGATCATCACGACTGCTTGTACCATGCATCTCTCTCATCTCCTTAAATCGCTGACACAATCATCCAAGAGTATTAAGGATATAGAAGGAAAAAAATGGAAAGTAATAGCATTCACAGGGGTTGAAAAGAAACTCATCAAATGCTATGACAGTTTGTGTACCTTTCTATGATTATGATCGTATGAACTCAGATGAGCTTCAAATTCCATCGCCAATTTGTATTGCTTGTTGCAAAGATCACAAAAGAACACCTTCCTTATCTCTTTCACCTCAGTTTGAATTTTCTGCTCCCGTTCAGCTAATACCTGAATTTTCATAATTTGCACGAAGCAGGCAGTAGAAGCCACCAGGTAATAAAAACTGCAGGAAATTCTCAAGAGCTTCGAAAGTTGATGTTCCCCTATGATAATACCATTCCCGTCAAAAGACACGCATATATGCTATATGCTGCCTTCTGTTATTAGATGTGGGTTTCAGAGAAAAAAGCATCAACCTCAAAATATTATCTACCAGTCCAAATATTAATAATGATCTCCTGCAAATTTATATGCATACCTCCCGCTTTTTTGTGTCTTCCTCAGTTTCTTCAACCTCGATGTCAAGTTTCCTTCGCTGAATATTTTCTTCTGCAGTAAAAAAATCATCTTCTTCTTGTTTTCCAATTCCTAACTTTGGATCTCTAATTCCAGACTTTATAGGCTCAATGATTCCTGAACATAAAACCCAGACGTTACTGTTAAAATTACAACATCATAGGTAAAGCGAAGCATTTAGCTGAGGAAATGTTTTTGAGATAACTGTTTAGTTTCACAGAAGATCAAGGCTTTGAGTCCAAAACACAAAGCATTATGATTCAACTTCAATTAGTTCAAGATCACGTGTCATATCGCAAATCATCTGAACTAAAAGACTAAAAGTCACAAGAGGCTATGGGTGTTGCGATGGTGAAAGGCTTGTGCTTGAATAACAAAAGTTTAGGTTAAAGTCAAATAAACATGAAATGTTTTTTTTTTTTTTTAAATGAGAGGGATAGAAATATCCTCTAATGTTCTCCCTCTTACGACCCCTACATCAATGAGGCCATAACTAGAGGGTGGCATGCAAATCCAGTACAGCCATTAGGCTCAACTAATGACATACCTTGCTCGTCCTTTCCAAGACCCTTTCCTTTCCATCCCATTTTCTGGAGAAGCCTAAAACCAACATTTGATGCTGTCAACTTTGTGTCCAGTGATGCTTGTTCAACATTGTCGAGATCAACATTTTCAGTGGGTCTGTGATTTTTCGGCAATCGAAAATCCTCTGTGAAATCCTCAATAAGTGAGTCCTGTCAAGTACATACCACAAATCCAGATGATAAACATCACTACACAAGATTAAATGATGCTCAAGTATTCATGTAAGCAGAGGCATAAAGGAAAACTCCATTGACACAGAAACATATAATCTTTTTATACCAAAGCAATTAATCAAAACTTAAACAGCAATCTTCAATTTATCAATAACACCCAGTTCATGAACTTAAATATTCTCTAACGCTTTCCAAGCTGTACTGAATAAGCAATCTCCCATGCAATCCATCAAAAAAAAAAAAAGGATTGGAAACCTAGAATCACCTGCTCTCTGTCAAGTTGCTGTTCATTGTGGGTGCTTGTTTCCTGTTTATCAATGAACCATCTGCAATCCATTTTCTACCACCTAAGAAAAAATCAAGAAGTAAAATAATAAAAAGGTTTGTTTCGGAGGAGAAGTGAAAAAAAAAATTGCTAGTTAAGAATAAGTGAAAAATATCACTAAAATATAGTCACAGCACACACTCCATGAAAAATATCAAAGACCGAAAATGCTAGCTATTAGCTTATCAGTTATGAATATCAAGATGCATAATACAAATAAATGCAGATTTTGGTTGCCGGCAGCAATGAGCATAAAATTTGAATTCACAATCTTTAAGCTCGAACCTGATTTAGTCTATAAAATGCAGAAAAAAACTAAAAAGGAAGTCTAAAATTCAAACAAGAACGTCCCTTTTTGTAATCCTAAACTCCATAAACACCATGCAAACATTAAGAAAATTCATTGTACATACGTTTTACAAGCTCTAAATCCACAGGATCTCCTCAACAGTGAAAAAAACAACAACAAACAAAGGTAGCTTTTTTCACTGTTTTCTTAAAGTTTTAAGCTGATTCCTCAAAAGGGTTTCTCGCAACAAAAGCTAAAAAACCAAATCCATGCCATGCCCTAACAAACTCTATTAATTATGAAAAATCAAAGTGATCTCCTTGAAATCGAAACTAAACTCACCAGTACAAATCCCACAGAAAACATAATATGCATCTCAAAATCTTATGAAGTGAATAAGATTCAAAAGCCCTAACTTTAAAGTCTGCTAAAAGTAAAGACCATGAATAGCAAGCCAAAAAACAAAATTTTGGTTCAATATTGTCGGGAAAAAAAAGAAGAAGCTGATTAAATTTCATAAAAGCAGATTATATTTACCTGATTATTAATTAACGGGATAGAAGCTGAGAAACCAAACACCAACAAAGTCTTTGCCCTTTGATCTTCTGTCTCCGTGGTTTCTGGTCACTGAATCAAACCCCTTTATGTTTTGTCTTCAGACAAAACTAAAAACGCAAGTGTGTCCCATGGAACAAAAACACGGGCTAATTTTTTTAAAAGCTTAGCCCAATTTAATTTGTGTTTGGGCCAAAATTGTGAGCTTGCTCGGCAAAAAGAAAAAAAATAAAAAATAAAATAAAGAGATTTAATTTTCATAAATATATAAATTGAGCTAAACATATTTTCATGATTAAAAAGATTAAATTAAAACAATTAATTTATCATGAAGAAATTAAATTATGATGTGATTAAAAACTAAAGGAGCCATTATATTTTTAGCCAAGAAAGAGAGTGATGTGGGTGAAAGTTTTAGGGAAGGAAAATGTATTTTCCATCACCACCTTTTCTTCTTATTCTTATTCTAAAGATATCAGCGCTTGGATTATTTAATAATTAATTGGCAAAGTGTATTCTTCTTATTCTTACCCTTATACAAGTTAGTTTTAATTAGTTTTAATGCTAAATAACTAACTATTAAAAAGACTGATATCTTTCAAACTTATATTTTAGTTTTAGTTTTTTCTTACTCTTCCCGCCTTTCCCCCCTCTCATCAGATCTATAGAATCTCCGTAAGATGCATAACAACATGTATGCTTGTCTGGAGTAAATAAAATAAAAACATGAAATAAATTTGAGAAATAAAAGGCAACGAAATGAACATGCTTGTTTCCATCACCACTGTCTTCGCCACCT